GCCCCACCTTAAACTGTGCTGACATCAGGTTCTGGTGATGCCTTGAGATGACCAGTCCAGGGCTACCTTGTCTCACCTCAGTAGAGGATAAGGGAACTCAGGATAGCTATGGGAAGTCATAGATTCCTCTCGTGGGAAGCTTACTTCAGAAAAGGAAATGACCTGCCAGAACCACAGTTTAGGACAAAGACCAGCCTAGAATGAGCGAGGCTTCCAACTTCTCTGCAAGAAAATAGATTAACCATCCTCTTAACCAATCTCTATGGGCCGGGCAAAACAATGTCAACTAGGCTTGGAGCCCATAGCTCAGTAATAGGGCACCGGCCACATACACTGAAGCTGGAGGGTACAAGCCCAGCTTGGGCCTGCTAAACAACAATGACAACTGCAACCCAAAACAGCCAGGCGGTGTGGTAGGTGCCTGTAGTCCCAGCTACTCAGGAGGCTGAGGCAAGAGAATCACTTAAGCCCAGGAGTTTGAGGTTGCTGCGAGCTGTGATGTCACAACACTCTATTGAGGGTGACATAAAGAGATTCTGTTTCAAAAAAAAAAAAGTCAACTAAAATGCCCAGATACCAACATTAACAATCACTGGGAGGTATGTGTTGGGGGGCTGCATCACCGAGGTGCCAGCCCCACAAAGTGCAAGGATCATGCCCAAGTGCCAGAGGCAGGCCCACAGAGGCCCCAGACAAGCAGAGACACACGCCTAGGCCTAAAGGCTTGTAGGTCAAGTTACAACAAAGGTGCAGTTAAGACCTCAAATCCTCCCCCAAAATCTGGGGCTCAGAGAGCTTGCCAGAAAATTCAAGGTAGGTATTCAAGCCTTTAGTTTTTTTATTTTGTTAATTTCTTCTCTGTGTCCATGGACAGCTCTAGCCTACCAGGTTGGAGCAAAACTTAACTTCAGCAGAGGAAAGAAATCCACAGGTCTGAAAGCCTGGAATTCCAAACATCAAGGAAAATTGGCACCTCTTTTTTTTTTCTTTTTTTGTTGAGACAGAGTCTCTCTCTCTGTCACCATGGGTAGAGTTCAGTAACAGCATAGCTTACAGTAACCTCAGACTCCCAAGTAATTAGGACTACAAGTGCCCACCACAATGCCTGGCCAGTTTTTCTATTTTTAGTAGAGACAGGGCCTTGCTCTTGCTCAGGCTGGTCTTGAACTCCTGAGCTCAAGCAATCCACTTTCCAAGGCCTCCCAGAGGCCTAGGATTACAAGGAGTGAGCCACCAAGACCCGCCAGCAATGTTTTTTAAATCAAGTCTCCCCCACAGTGCTACAGTGCAATCTAGAAGCATCTACTGAGCCCCTTCCCCCTGGACATCCTATTTCTACTGTGGACATCTTGAGAGCAAGAGAGCAGAGATCGGGCTTTACTATCTTTGTCCCCAAAGGCAAACCTCCACTAATGTTAAATGTTTGTGGAAGGAGCCTGAATTTGGATAAAGAACAGAATTACAAAGGGACCAAAAGACTTAGTCCTAGAGGCATTTTAAATTGATATGGAATCTAACTGGGAAGGCCCAACCTAAACACTTAGAAAAAGGAAAACAAATTATTTACAGCTAGTGGGAGGGGGCAAAATAATTTACTTGAAATGGAAAAGGAAATGGAGAAGAGGGAAATAACCTCAGAGAAAACCAAGAAAGTTGTTTTTGGAACAGATAAGACTTAAGCTGTGATTTCAGAAGGATAAGGTTCTGGCCAGCTGGGAATGGGGAGGGCTTCCACCTGGGAGCAGTGCAGAGGGCACCAGTGGTTAGGGACCCACTGGCAGCCACTTATGCCCAGGGGATGGCCAGGTGCCTTCCTTGGGTGATCTCATCCCAGGGAAGAGGGCTGCTGGTGGAAGGCAGGCTGCTGGTCTCACTTTATAGACAGGGAAGCTTGCCTGTAACTTGTCAGTTCATACAAGGCACAGCTAGAATTCCAAGCTGGAGGTTTCCAAACCTCTTTCCAACCAGGCTTTCCCAGAGTTCCGTTGCAGCTCCTATTTCTTTTGAGGACATCTTTGACCCCCGAATCACAACCATCTACTCCCCTGTGGCTGCTTTATATTCATAAGGCCCCTTCACACCTTATCTCATTCCTCTCCATAACCTCCAGATGCGCAGGCAGAGGGACCCAGGGCTTGTGGGACACGTGCACAGAGGGAGGCTCATCGGGGTGGGGAGGTGAGCCCTCCAGAGATAGAACTCACGTGTCTGCTTTCTAAACTACTCTGAACCCCATCTTTCCCCTCACCGCAGGATGGAGTGGCAGCAACCATTACATCTCAAGAGGTGGTTGTTCTCATTGGCAGAGGGACTCAGAAAGATGGCTGTTCCTAGGAGCTGAGGGATTCTGGGCCACTGGTATGAAAGAATCCGAAGCCTTCACCACCTTCACCCCCTTTAAGAGGCGAGGTTGCTAACAACAAGGGAACTTTCGCTCTGTGTCCACAGGTCTGGACCCTTTTGTTGATTCTCACCGCTGGCGAGAATCTTTGGTAATTACTTTGGTAATGACCATTTACAACTGTAAACTATTCTTCTGAACCGAGCCTGGGACTCAGGAGTTAATCCCCCTTGACGTTCGGTAGGAGCAAAATTTGGCTTCGGCTGATACTTGTAAGCAAAGGCCACAGACTTGGGACTTTAGGGCCATCAGTGACAAGTTGCCCTGCCCAGAACCTTCTCACACTCAGACCAGGCCCAGCCCTGGTGCTTGAGGGTCCTCCCCGCCCCCTCTCGTCTCCGTGAAGTCTGGGATGGAATCAACGAATCTGGTGGCGCCAGGCCTCCTGCAGCCATCTCGGTCAGTACTGGGGCCAGGAGGTGATTAGCAGGTTCGGGAGGGAACAAGAACGAGAATCGCCACCTGGGCTGTCGTTATCTCTTTCGTGTCATTAGGAGGAATGGGGAAGAGCCTTAAGAGACCAGAGCCAGGCCCGGGAGGGAGGCGCGGCCCTGGCCCTGGCGGCCTCAGAAGGGGGTCACGGCCGGAACTCTGGCTGGGGCAGTGGGGTCCGCGGAAGCTGGGCGGGCCCAGCCGCCCCGCGAGAAACTCGGAGAGTTTCCGGCTTTCAGATTTGAACACTGTAGGACGAGCGGCCGGGCTAAGGCTGCAGGCGGCCATTGGCTGCGGTGGCGCAGTGACGTCGCGCGAAGGAGGCGGGGGTCGGGCGCGGGCGGAGCCTGGGAGGGGAGTGTCCCGGCGGCTGCCAGCCCTGAAAGCCCCAGCGCCAGAGCGAGACAAACGCCGGCGCTGAGATGGGCCGCCAGCCCTGCCGCCGAGTGGAGCCTACCGAGGGGGGGAAAGCAGCCAGGCCAGCTCGGCGTTTGGGTCTCTGGGGACCGCGGTAGGTGACGGGCATGGGCTTTTAGACGTGACAACCTGCTGGCGAGGCCTGGGTGGGCTCGGCTTGGGGGCTCAAGCCCCCATACGGGGCGGAGAGGGATGCAAAAACCTGGGCTGCGGAGAGGAGGGCGCAGGGAGACCCCTTGTCCACGGTGCCCTCCCAGGGGCGGCAGGACTGGGGCCAGGGCGCGTGGAGGCGGTTTGGGTGCCTGGGACCGGGCGCTGCTCAGCCTGTGTCCCAGCAGAGCGGGTTTTAGGAAGGAGAGGGTGACAGAGAGCCGGACACAGGGTTGCCGAGACTGGATTTCCTCTCTCCAGAGTGGGACTCGCTGGCCTGGCTAAGGGCGCCGCCGGGGCAGGGAGGGGGTCAGGTTGTAGAGGTCCACCCCCCTGCCCAGGAACGAGGCGTGCGTGGGTGTGGGTAGGAGCACAACAATCGGCGGCTCGCGGCCGGCCAGGTCTCCCCGAGGGGGGCGTGTATGCGCAAAGAGTTCTCGGTGGATAAGAGCCGAATTATTCGCTTGTAGTGGCGGAGGCATGTACAAACGCTTTCGCTCTCGTACACACACTGCACCGCACGCCATCCAGTGTCACCAGGCCAGGAGAAGGAGGGAAGGAGCTGCCTGGATGGGAACGGGCGAAGGAACCAATCCCATCCCCTTGCGAGCCCTTCCCTCCCCTGCCGGGCTCCTGCCCCGCCTGCCCCCTCGGAAGATCTGGAGGCCGCGGCCGACAGAGGCCCAGGCGCCTCCCGGCGGGGTGGGGCCCAACCGACCTGGCCGCCCCTTTGGAGCCGGGGAGTCGGGGAGCCGGCCTCGCGCGGGGCCGTGCGCGGAGAGCGGGGAGCGGTCGGTTAATGATTTAATCACTCGCCCGGGGCGGTTGAGCTGGAATCGGCTGTCGCCGACTCCGCCCCTTCCCTGGAGCGCCCCCAGCCGGGGATACAAAAGTGCCCCCTGCCCCTGGCGCGTCCCTCAGGAGCTGTCCCGCCTGCCTGGGAGCCGCGCCGCCGCTGGTGAGTGCCCCAGCCCGGAGACCGGCGAGCTGGGAGGGAACTGGGAGCCCGGGCGGGAGGGCTGGAGCTAGGCCGGCTTCCTGGGAGAGGACAGAGTGGTGTGTGTGTGTGTGTGTGTGTGTGTGGGAGGGGGGACCCAGAGAGGCTGGGGGGAGGGGTGTTCTCTTCTAACTCAAACCAGGTTCCTTGCGTTTGCCCGTTGACTGTGGCTAGGGCTTTGGAAGTTTTCCTTTTCTCCCTGGGAGAATGGAGGGAAAATACAATGCTTTCTCTTTTCTTGTTTCTTGAACTTCTCCCCCTCCACTATCCCCACCCTTTGCGGTCTGACTCGCTCCCACATCCCTCGCTGAGTCCAACGCCCCTTGGCCCAGGTAGCTGAGCAGTTGAATCCGTGTAGAGTCCTGGAGCGTCCTCCGCGCTGTGAGGGTTCCTGCCCTCCCTGGAGGGGTTGGGTGCTGGAGGGAGAGTCTCTCTCCACTCACCCTCAGCGGCCATCTGGACCAGAGAAAGGTCTGCTGGTCCAGAGAGTGTAAACAATGAGGGCCCGTTACAGGGGCCCCCTGCTTGCAACTTCTCTGCTCAGTCTGGGTTTCTAATAACTCCCAGCAGCCCCCGCCCCCTTTCTGAGGCTGGGGTGGAGGAGGGACCACCAGCAGGATGGACTGAATTTTAAGAGAACAAAGAACAGGGCACAAAGGAAGAGAGCTGAGCTGTGGGTTCCTCCCAGAACTGGAGAGTATGCTGGAACTGAGCCAGGCCTCAGGCGGCCCTAGGGCTCCCCTGGAGTAGTGGGGCATCCAAGGGGATCTGGTGAAGCTCCATCCCTGCTGGGCAGCTGGGACCCTGCTGAGAGTAGTAGTGCCTGTGTGTCCCCTGCTCTCATCAAGTGCCCCTGTGAGCTACCCATGTGACTGACTGATTAGTGTGGTGGTTTATCTCCTCTGAACTTGGACTTCGTCCCTCCACTGCTTGAGGACAGCTGCTCCTTCCCACAAGAGGGGGCTCAGTAAACCTCCGGAGATCACCACTGGGGTTCCTGGTCTTCTGAGGGATTCTGGTGGTGTCTTCAGGGACTAGGAGGAGCCGGTGTGATACTGTGAGCCTATGGTAATCCTGGGGTGAGTCTCAGCCCTACTGACAGCCTCCTGAGTTCGAGGACTGATTGCTTATGTTATGCTGTGTACTTTGAGCATTTCTTCCATGTTCTGGGGGTTCTGCCTTTTTCTCTCTTAACCCTTCTTTTCCCCTTATTTGTTTCTTGCTCATGCCACCCCCCACCCTCCACCAATGCTTGTCCTGCTCCCATGTGTGTACCCAGCATACTTCCACCCTGGTGCCTCCAGAACCTGAGTCAGGGGCCTCAGGACTGGAGACCAGGGAGTCATAAGTAAAGGAAGGGCTTATCTGTAAAGCAGGAGGGTGGGAAGGGGTAGGCAAATGTTAACCCAGGAGAGGAAACTTAGACCCTTCCTGATAAGTCAGGAGCTCTTCCAGATTGGCCTGAGTTGGCTCTGGTTCAGAGAGCCCTTGGAGTGGTTGATTGATTTCTGTGGCCAGGACAGGCTATGCCCAGATGTCGAAGGTGTTTGATATTGGCCTCTCCATTTCACTCTCTCCCCCTCCCACCTTTGGATTGGGCTGGAAGTGGAGGTGTCAGAAGCCTGTGTGACTGGGATTGCTTTGGGTAGCAGTTCTAGACCTCTCTGGCTGGACCTTCTTGTTCCACAGACTCAGAGGAACTTGTCCCTGCAAGGGTGGGGAAAGAGGGAGGAGGAGTCTGTCCTTTGGAGGAATGGGGATCTGGGTTGATGCCAGAGATAAGGCTTGGGGGTGGAGGAAGAGGAGTTGAGCAATTCCGCTCTGGAAGCTGAGAGAGCTGACCTGTGCTTAGTCTTCTGACTTAGGTACCGGAGGCCTTTCCTTGACCTTGGGGAAAAGAATCAAATTCCGGAGTTAGGGGACACTTTGAGGGGCTGTCTGGAAGAGTATCTGGAAGGCCAACCCCAGCCAGTAGTTCTGGGGTGTTCCAGGCAAGCTAAGCCCATGTGGGCAGGGAATCGGATGGTAGTGAGAGGGGGCCTCAGGAGGTCAACTCTCTTTGCTTGTGGTGTATGTGAAGAAAGTCTAGCCATTGCTTTACTATATTCCCATCACTGTGCCCCTGAAGCTCCAGCTTAAAATATGCCTCCTTGAGGAGCCTGGGCTTCTTTCCAACTAATGTACGTTGGAGTCCCCCCCCCAGGCACTGCCAGCTTGTAACTCTGGGCTCCATGCCAAGGTGGCAATGCTGGCATCCTTTGCCAGGAGCAGGGGAACTGGTGTTCTCCACTCAGCCCTCCAAGCTGAGAATGGGTCTCCCTTTTGAGGCTCAGGTGAGGGCAGTTTGGGGTGTGTTTCTGAGTGATCTGCCCACCTAGTATGGAGCTGAATGTGTTTGAGAAGATCCCTGGGGATCTGTGCTCATTGCAGCCAGCCACTGTGGCCACCATCTTCTGCCTTGGCTATCAGGGTAGCAGAGGAGGCCAGCTGGGGCAGCCTCTAACCCTCCTGAGTCTCTGGCTTGTTTTTTTGCCTGTGCCCATAAAATTCTTATAGTACAGTGAACTTGGTCTGGAGACCTCAGCTTTAGATCTTCCCAAATGTGACAGTGAGGTCAGATTCTGTGTTCCAGCCTCTCTGCCCTACAAGCTCCTACCCTTAAGTTGGAGCTTCTATGCACTTGGGTCCCCCTTTTCCTTTGCCTAGAATGTTGCCCCTGGCCCTGAAGCATCAGGAAAGGACCTGCCCCTCCCACTCCTGATCAATTGGTAGAAGACCTGGGAGAGCCCAGGAAGAACCGAGGGTGCAGGACAATGTGTGGGCACCTCTAATGAGCATCCGCTTTGGTCCAAAGGAGCAAGGTGTTTTTTATTGGAGTTTTATCTTGTTGAAGTTTTCTTTGCATTATGTGTTGCTAGTAGCACCCAAGCTTCTGCAAATTCCTGAGTTACCTTTTATCCTTATCCTAGGGAAGAATGGGGGAAGTTTCTCTTTTCCTACCTCCTTCCCACTATTCAGCTGAAATCAGAAAGAGCTTAAGTCTTATTGGAGAGAAACCAGGCTCCTCTGTCCTGGGCCATTAAAGGTTAAAAGGTGAAGAAGGGAGGAGGGAAGTCAGATCGGAAAAGAAACCAACTCTGAGAGTTGCCCAACCCTGCTGCTAATCGGAACTCCACAGGGAGGGCAGAATACATGTGTGGGCTTCAGCAGCTGGAGGACCCTTCCCCCCGTGACAGGTAATACTAGGAACCCCCATGACTTTGAAAAAAGGTTCAGTCCATGGCTCACTGTGGAGCCTTTTGTGTTAGGCAGCCTCGGATGTGTGTTCTTTTTGAATTTAGGGGAGTAGCAGTGGCTGGAATGTCCCTGGGTATGCCAAAACTCCACCACCACCCCCAGCCTCCCTAAACATAGGGCATTGGCTGAGAGCACATTACAGCATCATTTTCACAGCACACAGGTAAGAATGCTCACCCCTAGCATGGCACTGTGCTGAATGCTTTCCATATATTAGTTTATTTAACCCCATAGTGATGCTGAGAGGTGCACAATGTTATCAATCACTTTGAAAGCTGAGGAGGGAACTGACGCACACATGACGAGTCACCTGGGGTCTGGCTCTTTGCTTCCAAGTTCTGGCAGGGCCAAGATGGGAAAGTTGCCTGCCTACTCTGGAGTGAGTCCAGATGCACAAGTCTCCTTCTAGAGACCCCCAACCCCCAGAGTGTTCTTGAACTCTCCACTCCTCAGCTGATCACTCGACCCTTGGGAGAAATGAAGTGAAACCAAACAAGGCCTGGCAGATCTGATTTCCAGCCCATCTGCTTCCTCCTGAGATCCAGGCAAAAACTGAGGGGCCACTTCCCGAGGAGGGAGGTCTCCCCGGCACAGGGGCATTGGGCAGTGGTGGGGGGCACAAGGCACCCTTCCTGCCTCTCCCGGGTCTTCCCTGTGGACGCTGACTCACATCAGGTGGCAGGCTCTGGGAAGTGTGCATTGCCAGGAAGGGCCCCGTAAACAAGTGAAGTTGCCGGACATCCTTGAGTCACCGGCTCCACACCGTCTTGACCCCTCAGTTGTCCACTTGAGGTCACTCCCCAGCTTTGGCTCCTTTGCTTTTCTCTGGGCTGTTCTAAACCCGGGTAGGAGGTGATGCCTTCTCCTTCATCCTCCTGTCAACTTCCTTCCCTGGGCCTGAAACATCTGGTTCTGGGCTCAGGAGGCAGCTAGCTGCAGCAGCAAAATGGGGGAGGCAGGCAGAGAGGGGCCGGTTCTAGCCCACAAGGAGCAGCAGTTCCCGACTGGATGGACCTCTGGGCCTGGGGGGGTCTACGTTTCTTAGCATTGATCTGTACTTTTCCGTGGGGTAGTGGGGAACGGGGTGCCCAGACTGGGGAGGTGTGAACCTGAAATCATACGCAAAATTGTGTGTGTCCTGTAGGTGCTTGAGCATCCATAACCTTCATCACATCTCCTAGGCCTGAGCCACAGTGACGCTGTGACCCTCCCCTGATGTTCCTTATAGTGCAGTGTTAAAAGCCCAGCATTCAGAATCGGGTACATCTGGGTTGTAGCTCTGTCCTTACCAACTGTGTGACTTGAGTGAGTCATTTATCTCTGTAAGCCTCAGTTCTCTTACCTGCTAGATGGAGGGTGAGGGTGATGACTTCCATAGAATTGTGAGGAAGAATACATGAGATAAAGTCTTTCACGTGCCTAGGACTTTCTTAAAAGCAGTTTAATCAAAAGAAAGCATCCAGCACAATGCCTGGTAACTATAGACCTTACATTCTTTCTCAGACTTCTCTACAACCTATGGCCCAGGAATTGTTACTGCTGGTCCAGGGAGGGCCCATCCCCTGAGGCTGGGTGAGGTCTGGGATAGCACTTCCCAGAGTGGGTTCCTCAGCACACAGTCTCGTCGATATTGGTCAAGAGCCACACTGGAAGGCATTATTCCAGAATGCCCTTGATTACAGTGCTCTTGCTTAAACTGGACTGGATGACTCCTATATTTTCCAGCAACTAAAGGGTAAAGTATCCAAGCCATGATGTATTTTTCCATAGCTCAGCCTGACTGAGTTATTGGCATCATTTTCCTATAAAATGTAAGAATTATGAATTCCTTAAGATGATGGAGAATATCTGTATGATATTCCAGTCACCATGGTGAGCGGGATGGGCTATCAGCGTAACACTTGGACAGTGCTGTCAGTAGGAATATAATGCTCGTCACATTCTAAAAACTGAAGAAAGAGGGAATTAATATACTGTACTTTAACCTTGTACATCAAAATATTATTTCCATTATTTCGTTTTTTCCTGCTTTTTTGTCTTATTATGCGTTTTTTCTTTTTTGATTATATTTTTTCTTTCTTGTTTTTCATTTTGTCTCTTTATATTTGTCTAGGTTTTCATATTTTATGCTTTTCTTATGAAGATGTCCAAATCCATGTGTATTTTACACCTGTAGCACCTTTCAGCTTAGGTGCTAAATTTCATAAATACTAGATCAGCATTTGGAGTGCATCAAATTGACAGTTGAAAAGTAGATAGATGTATTCAAGTTGTCTCAAACGTACTTTTCCAATAACTGAATCAAACATCAATGTTTAAAAGTTAAAATAGTTAAAATTAAATAAAATTTAAAATACAGTTTCTTAGCCATGTTGGCCACATTTTAAGCCTCCAGTAGCCCTATGTGGCTAGTGGCTCCTGGAACAGATGACTGAGGTATAAAATATCACTGTAAATGCCAGGAACAGAGACATGTCTTGTTAGTAGTATTGTTCAACATTATACTGGCAATTGTAGCAAATGTAACAAGATAATAATAAGGAATGAAGGAAGCAGGTTTTCTTTCTTTGTGGTAGGATCTTGCTCTCTTGCACAGGCTGGAGTGGCATGATCACAGTTCACCGCAGCCTTGAACCCCTGGACTCATGTGATCTTCCTGCCTTGGCCTCCCAAAGTACCAGGACTACAGGCACATGCCACCATGCTTGTCTAATGTTTTTTTCCTTTTTCTTTTTATTCTTTTTTTTCAAGACAGGGTTTCTCTATGATGCTCAGGCTGATC